TCATGAAATTGTTCAAATACACTTCTAATTTGAGAAATGGGTTAAATTGGAAATAATCTGGTTTTGGGGGGTTAAAACTCTAGATTCTCCCTCTTTCTCTCCCATGAAATTCAAAGGTCTCTTATTGGTTGAGATTAATTAATTAAATTTGGTTGATTTTTATTTTATTTTAGGTAGATAGATCAGGAATTATTTATTAAAAGCACTATGTCCAGGTCATTCACTGTCATACAGGTTCTGGTGTGTTGATATATTTTGGGCAGCCAGATGTGCCTTCTTCTTCTCCAGAAGTGTTTTTACTTTTGAGACGTTGCTTAACTGATTAAAATTTGGAACTGAATTGGAAAAACGTGTTTCTTCAAAAGATCAAAGTTCAACAGCACGAGGTGGAGGAGAAAAGACAGACAGTCTTCTTTTCTTTAGCCGTTAATGTTGCTGTGCCCACAGTTCCTGATAGTGGTGGCTTATCAAACAGAAGCAAGCCAGCATTGTGTTAGCTTATACTCCCTCAATGTGCGTTTGGTTAAATTTACATTATTATAGTATTAAACACATAATTATAAGCTGCTCTTCTTATGATTGGAATTTTACACACAAACACAATAATTTACTTTGACAAATATTTGGCCACATAATTGTATTTAGCCCATTTTTTTTCTTTTTATATTTTTAAAATCTTGTCTTTGATCCCTGGATTGTCTTGCAAAATACTACACAAGATATTTTCTACGTTCTTCTTCCATAAACTTTCAGGATTTTATTGGTGATGACAGATTATATTGACTGATTCTTCTGGAAGGAAAGAAAAATAAAAACTGGAGGATGCTGATTATTTGTATTTTAGTTTTTTGTTTTCAGTGAAGGGATAATTCAAATTACATTTTCAGTAGTGCCTAGTGAGGCGAAGAAAATGAGAAGCTGTTGTGTTTCGATGTGACCACACGGGGGCAGTGCAGCATAGTGAGCCTGCAAATCAGTTTATAACTTTTATATAATTTGTGAGTTTTTTTTATTCTGAATTTTAGTTTTCAGTTCGTTTCCACAGTTCATATATCATGTGTAAGCTCTCATTAGTTTCAGTCTTTGTTTGTATTTTATTCTATTCATGATGGTTGTGTTGACAGATTTATCCAAATTTAAAGCTATAGATGTGAACTTTTGGTTCCTTTATGTATAAACACTAAGGTGTTTATAAATAATTCATATTTATGCATTTGTACAGTCCTGAAAGAGGCCCATACATTGAGCTACACTCGACATTAGTCCAACTGAAGATCATAATTTTATGTAGCAACTTATTTTCCCTTACCCCGCCTCCACAGACAGATGTGCACAGAGGTTCAAAGGCCTCGATCACTGAAGACAGGCTGCATCAAGAGTGTTACCACCAAAGTGCTTTATTTATTCACTTCAGCCAACCTCTTTTATGTCCCCATTTATTTAAAATCTGCTCTAAGAAATATTTCCTGTGATCAACTTATACAATTTGGAACATTTGTATTTGTGTCTGGTAACAACAGCAGCAAATGTGCTGTACAGCTGATTCTTTTGAGGGTGTAGCGCCTTCAAAGGTTGACGTAGGCACCGTGTAGAGTTATAAAACGGGGTTTATTCTGGTCTTGACGACCCGGGAGAACTGCTCAAAGAAGAAAACGATTTTTTTTTCTTTTAAAACATCACATCAAAATGCATTCTTCTACTTTGTGTAAATCAATCACAACGTAATTAATCACAGAAAATAAAACATTTAAAGAACACAAACAAAGTAAGCTGACCTCCAGGAGGGGCTAAATAGTCCTTTGTGGCCTTACTATCTTTTTCTAACTTATTTCTTGCACTTATTTAATTTTCAACATTACTTTTTCCATGTGTGGAGCTAACCATGTGTGCTAGCAAAAAAGGGGTTGGGTGGAGACCCAAAACTGCAACCAACTCTACATTCCACTGTTCATCACCAGATGGTGCAAAAGCGCAAGATCCAGACATAAAGCATCAAATCCAAAAGTCCTTTACAGAGGGTTTTTATCATCATTATTATTATTATTATTATTATTATTATTATTATTATTTATTTAACTAACTTTTTAAATGTTTCACACATTAAACATTAATGCATGAATGGATGTGTATTTTAAAATGAAATACTTACAGAAGACATTGTTAATTATTAACAGCTTAATTATTGTGCTTTGTATATGCTACATGTATATATAGTACATGCAGTATGACAGGAACACAGAGGTTTAGTGCCAGACTTCACATAAAAAGTATCAACTATGTTAGGATCCATGATTATCATGTGTGGTGTTAGTTTACATTAGTGGCTCCTCTCATGAAGGTGTGTGGATCTCTCACCTCTCTCCAAATTGTGGTTGTGTGTTTGATGCTGAAACAGATGAAGACTGCTGATTGGCTGAAGTAGGGTACAATATATATTTTTGGTTTTTGGTTTGGGCAGTGCTCACCGCTACATTAAATAAACTGCTGCTTGTGTGTGTTTGTAGGTTCTCAGTCATCCAGCTCATGGTTGTCTAAGGAGCCTGGAAACACTTCAGCCACCTGGAAATACCCAGCCTGCAGAGTACATCATATGATTTATTGATTTATTTTGTGTTCATGTCACATGGATGGATGTGAAATTAATTTATAATTGTTTTGTTTTTTGTCTGTTTCTAGAGGAGACGTCGTTCAGGTTGCAGGACTTGGTGGTTATAGAGTAAATGCCACCGGCCACACATGTAAGACCATATTTTGTTTGATTATTTCACAGTTAATGCTAGAATCTGATTTCGGTTTCTGTGACTGTTTTATTCTTACATTTATGTTTTTGTTTAATACTGAATGAAGAACAAGTTTTTTTCTTTTTGTAAATTTTGGAGTAGATATACTGTGTGCCAAGTTCCTTGTTTAAAAATCATTTGGAAACATAACAAAAGATGAAACATCATTCTACTCACAATTTTAGCTTTTGAAAGATTATGAATAACTTTTGTTCTTTTCCTTTTTCTCTAGTCCCTGATGAACCACCTAATCTTCAGTGTGCAGACATGTGTGTTGCTGACTGTGAGCCTACCAGATACTCTCAGTGTACTGCATATGTGCCATATAACAACAGGCTGTGTCTGGAAGAACATCAAGTAGATGCACGTGGGGTTAGTTGACTGCTAATATTACTGTATATCATCTGTGTATGTTTTAGATATTTTGGGGAGCACAAACTACATTTCTCTTCTCTCGGGGTGATTCTGGTGGTGGAGTGATTTACAACAGCATGATTTATGGTGTAATCAGTTCTGGTTTTGAACGTGTGTGTACTGGACCAGCTGTTACTGTGAATGTTTGTTCTGACATGAACTGGATAAATCAGAAAATTGCTCAAAATAATGGAAAATAACTGAATGAAAATAACATCCAGAATAAACAATCATATCTACATGAAACTTGTGTGCTGTGTGTTGTTTCTACTCTAGAATATCTTCATGTTAACTGCAAATTGTGAACCTTTTTCTTTGGTCTAAAATATTGTGTCAGATTTGCAGCTTGTGTGTGTTTGAATGTGGTGTCAGGTGTGTAGCAGCTCATCCTGTTGTTCAGAAACTCTCAGACTCACACTGTGAAGATGCAGAAAGGCTTTCTGATCAGACATGCCACCAATCAGCTGCAGGGCCTGAACATGATAAACTTCATGAATCTGAGCTGATTGTTGAGGCTGAAAATGTTTACATGGAGGCTGTTGGCCTCCGTGCACTGAGGGCATTAAAATAAATACAGTAACTATCAAAATAAGTTTTGTTGATAAAATACATTTCTTGAAACCGTCCATTGTTTTGTCCGAACTCTAAACACTGAATCCAATTTTCAAACTAAAAGCAGTGCTTTCAAAATTTACACTAAAGCAAAAAACCTACAAGAACAAAAATAAACAAAATAAAATTATAGTACATAGTGACATATGTGTTTTATTTCTCATAACACATCATTTCCATCTTGTCTTCAGTCCTGCATTTTTATACTTCTAAGACCAAACTGAAAACTAAACTCTTCATATTCACAAACACTATTTGTTTCAGGATTTCATCATGATTCATTTTCCATATGAGGCAGTGCTTTCAAATTACTTTTGAAGTAGTACAGAGAAATTACTCTTCTCCTCTTCTTTTAAATTGCATCAATATTTTCCAACTGAGCAGTAAAAGGACACGGAAGTCAAACATGAAGCATCAACGTGATGTTTAGATGTCGATTAATATTACAATAAGAGACTAAAGTAACTCGCTTTGAACACTTCAGTTTTCTCTCTTGATGCTGCTGTTTGTTTCCTCCTCCACTTGTATTTTTCTGCACTTCAGTGAATGTGCATAGCGCCCTCTGTTGTATGTTTGGGAGAACTGCACTGCACTGTCATCAAATGAAACTGTGCAGAGGTGGAAAATGAGCAAAGGAAGCACATCAACTGAAGAAGCTTCTTGGATCAGAAGTTTAACATCATCCAGAACCTTAAAGAAGTAAAGTCGCTTTCTTTCCAGGCTCCTTAGACAACCATGACCTGGATGACTGAGAACCTACAAATACACATGAGCAGCAGTTTATTTCATGTGGACCCGAGCAGTGCCCAAACCAACAACCAAACAATTTTTATTGAACCCTACTTCAGCCAATCAGCAGTCTTTATCTCTTTCAGCATCAAACACAAACCACACCTTGAAGAGAGGTGACAAATCCACAAACACCTTCAAATGTAAACACACATCACACATGATGAACATGGATCCTAACATAGTTGATACTTTTTTTTGTAAAGCCTGATACTAAATGTGTGCAGGCCACCTGAACTGCTTTGTCTCGAGTGCCGCCCACTGGGTTGGCCACTAGAACTGTGTGTTGCCATCACTGGAGCCGTGGTTGGTCTTTTAGATTATTTAGACTGGGACTGTTTTTTGTTGATTAGGCGGCATGGTGTCCTGACGGCTGCCTCTGTTGTTTTTTTTCCCAATATAATATTCCTTTTCATCCCTCAGATCCAGCTTAGTGCCAACCAGGATGATGGGCGTGGAGGGGCAGTGGTGACGGACCTCAGGGTACCACTGGCAGAATACAGAGTAAAGGAAAACTAAATAAGAGGCAAGAAAGGGGAACACGCAAAATCAAGGAACGTGTTAGAGGCAAAAAACAGAATCAAAGGTGGAGGGAGATGAAGCTCTGATGCCAGGTGTTACAGAAAGGTGGATGAAGGCTTAACACGAAAAACAATGCTATGAAATGAGAGAAATACATCATCCAACTCTCACACACAGCATCAATCATTCATTCATATTTATTTTCAGATCTGTTTGGGTTTTTCCTCCATTTCTTTATCCAAGTACCTATTATTTTTCTCTATAATAAATTACTATTTTTCTCCTCCCTCTTATTTTCTCAGGTAAACCACAAGCCAGTGATTGTTGTGGGCTATGACTGGTAAATCTGTGTTGTGGAGTAGCTTGCTCACAAAGCAGCTATTTCCATGGAGTTTTGGGGTATTGCCTGATGAGATCTACTGCTGTTTCTTTAAGTCACTTTATTTTCAGCGTCTTACCATGCTAATATTTAACCAACTGTGGAAGTTTTAATAAAACACAGTTAGAAATTTGCATATTTCTGTTCCTTTTGTTCCTTTTTACTTTTTGTTCCTTGGCAGCTGAGAGACAGGCCTCATAAAAAACAGCCAAAACTCACCTTAGCTCTGACGTTCTCATAGGATGCCGGGCTAACCAGGGAGAAGCAGATTAGGAAAACATCCTGGATGGAGAGACAAGGAGACAAAGAATTAGAATAGCTGCTGCAATTTTAATTAGCTGACATGTTATATAAGTTCTGTCTGTGTAACTTTATGTCCATTAGTTACTGTGTGTGCCTGTGTGTGTATGTGTGATTCTGTACCGTCTGTGGCTAGGACAGTGGGCGGAGCCTGTCATAATCTTCCTGTCCAGCTGTATCCCAGAGGCCCAGGTTGACCGGCTTGCTGTCCACCATCACATTAGCTGAATATTTATCGAATCTGTGGGGAGAGTAGAGAAGGTCAGCGATCAGCCAACAAGTCATAGGCAACCTTTCATTTCATTGGTTATTCATTCATTCAACAATCTTTCAGTTCACTGATTGTTTAACCAGTGAAACTCCTGTAATGGAGAAAAAAAACAGGACCATACTTGAAATACCACTGTTCACAAAAACATTAACCAACAACATTACTTTGGTTAGTTTGACACAAAAGCCATCCTAACCATGTCTAGCAAGAGAGAATAATACATAATAAGGCAGGGCTGCCCCCGTGTGGTCTCATAGTAGAATAACAGTTTAATTTCTCATTTTTAAAAACTTGAGAAATTTCATCCAAAATGTATTCAGGCTCAAATGAAACTGATAACACAAATGTTTGCAGACACAGATGTTTTTTTACAGAAAGAAAGAGACTAGTGTACCAGATTAATCCTGTTTTATGGCCTGTCCGAGGTCTACCCCGCCCTTTGCCTAATGACAGCTGGGATGGGCTTCAGCCTCCTTAATGACCCAGTAGTTAAAAAGATGGATGGATTTCCTGAAATAGAAAAGTCACTGAAATAACGTTAACTGTCAAACATAGAACAACTATGACAAACAGTCAACACTATCTGAGATCCTGCTGGTGGTTAGGGAGGATATACGTGATTCTGTTTGTTGTTTAAACATATTTATAGAGTTAAGAGTTCAGATTGCTGGAAGAACAACATTCACGCTGTCTGATTGCTGTTTTTCTCCCAAAATGTAGAAACACCTGCTAACCATGGCACACTCTGCTTTTCCATTAGGTCTGTGCAAATACTACTTAAGTACACTCATCCTCCTGTGCCATTAGTGATATTAACAGAGTGTAGTCCATTTACGTTGGGCTTCAGCATCTACGCACATGTTGGCAGATTTTCTGAGTAATGTAAGTTTAGGAGGACGTCACTGTGGAGAGGAGTGAGGTTCTTTTTTTTAAACAAAAATAACCGAGACAGAGTTTTAGTGTGGAAGGAGCCATTATGTTCCCAAAGTTCATTTATGTTTCCCACAGATGCAGCAACATGATTCACAATGAGTCAACATGAGCAATGTTAATCATGACTGCAAAAAGATTAGCAACTGTGAAAGTGGAAGATGAAAAGTTATAACCTTGTTTACATATAAACAAGTTACAGTAACAGTGTACACACACACTCATGCAGATACCGATCAGGGATAACATTATGACCACAGGCCACAGGTCCCCCTTTTGATACCAAAACAGCCCTGAAGCATGGACTCCACTGGAGCCCTGAAGGTGTGCTGTATGTCAGGGTCTGCGGAGGCAGACCGTGCGGAAACGTGTGTGGTGGACCCAGGTGCGAACACAGGCGAGGATGCAGGAGTGGATTTAAACAAAAGCGAGCAGTTTATTATGGCTGATGAAAAGGAACAAAACAGAGTGAAGGCAGCATAAGAGTAACCGTTCAAACGAAAACCTAAACTGGAAATAAACTAAGGAAAAGCTATGGCTTGGAATACGGAACACAGAGGTGGTAACACAGACGACGCGACACAGACTGTATGAAACACAGAGACTAAATACACATGAGGGATGATCAGGGGAAGTGGATGCACACGGGGAACACAGGTGGCACTGATAATCATAACAAGACACGGCAGGAGTGAACGTAACACTGATGGGAGATGGGCAAAGTAAAACAGGAAGTACACAGAGGTTCAAACAGGAGGGGAGAGAGCACGGGGAGAACGCAGACATAACGGGCTGGGGAAAACATAGAATAAAACACAAAGAGAGACGAGGGCTCATAAATACACAGAGGGGCACACAGAGGGTGAGAGTCACGAAGGGAAAACACATAAGGAACAACGTAACAGATCAACCCAGGAAGCATGGCCTAAATAAAGAACAAAATACAAAAATACATGAAAACTAAGAATACTGGGCCCACATGGCCCAGGACCATGACACTGTATCTGCAACAAGATTCTAGCAACAGATCCTTTAAGTTCTGGAAGTTTCGAGGTGGGGCCTCGGAGCTTCTCAACCTTAAACATGTTGTTGTACTCTTTAAACCAGTCCTGAAACATGTTTGCGTTGCTGAAAGAGGGCACAGCTTTAGAGGCCATGTATTTCTGTTGCTCCGTGGTTCAGTTCTGATGCTCATGTGCCCATTTTTGGTGCTTTCATGAATGGACAGAGGTCAGCACGGGCACCCTGACTGGTCTGCAGCTATGCAGCCTCATGCGCTGCACATGACCCTGTTGCTGGTTCACCACTGCGCCTTCCTTGGACCACTTTTGATAGATACTACTGCAAGCCGGGAACCCCCCACAAGAGCTGCAGTTTGGAGATGATCCAGCCATCACAATATTAATATTATTAATATTGCAGACTTACTCAAATCCCTGTGCTCGCCCATTTTTCTGCTTTTAACTCATAAACTTTGACTACAAAATGTTCAGTTGCTCTGTAATATATCCCACCCACTAACAGGTGCCCCGATAAAGAAATAATCAGTGTTATTCACTTCACCTATCAGTGATCATAATATTAAGCCTCATTGGTGTATACTGTTAAAATTAGATACTCATGTTAAACATGGCCCAAATTTGTAAACCTTGTGGCCAATGCATGTGCAAGTAATCGCTGTGCACAGTGAGGTTTAGGACAGTGTTTACTGCTTGTTTATCTGTGTAATATGTGGGGACATCGTTAATATGGTCATCTCATGCTCACAGCTCTGGCTGTGAACACAGCCACCGCCTGCTCTTTCAACCTGTTTATAATGAACAGAAGAAAGCTGGCTTAAAGTGAGGGTGGCTGTTATAACCCTAGCAGGCTCCCACAGGTTCAGCTGCCGCCCATTTCTCCTGAGGAGCCAGTGTATAGCTGGATACAAGCTTGTGAAGAGCTCCTCGGTGTACGCCAGTGTCAGTACTGTGGTGACCTTAGGTGTTTGTTTCCCAGCCTGCAGAGGCTTGTGTAGTGATGTGCTTTGACGTATTTGACGATGAGTTTAGCGCTGTGTTTGAGCTAGTAGTGAGCAGCCAGTGCCCTATGTGAGAGTGAAGTTTTTCTTTGATTAACCATTTCTTGTCTTTTCAGCAGATTCTAGTCTGTTGACATCCTTTGTTGGAGTGATATAACAGTATAGTTGACTCGTTATCTGTCCCCTGAGCTTATCATTGTTAATCCCCTCATCCCCTAGCCCTTTCCTGAGGGTGTAAGAGTGGCCTTAAAGGAAATGGCTTTTTTTAGACAGTGGATGAACAGTTAAATGTCAATCATAAAATGTCAATCAAGTACATCAACATTAGTTGACTGCAGCCACAATACTCTTAAAACAGTTTGCAGCCTCATACTTCCTCCTTTATCTTAAAAACTCAAATTATTTCAGTGTTACTCTAAAAGTCATACCTTGATGACGATCAGCAGGTAGCACAAGCAGATGACCAGCAGGGGGCAGAAGAATCCAACAGTGCACGTGTAGACAATAAACGATGTCTTCCACACTTCTGCTGGTTCAGGCCACACGATGCTGCAGTTCCCATCATCCTTCAGCACATCCGCGAACACCACTACCGGCAGCACCACCACAAAGGACCCCGCCCAAACGGTGCCACTGATAGCCTTAGCCACGTGGGGGCGCCGCCACCAAGAAGAGCGGATGGGATGCACCACAGCCAGGTATCGGTCCACTGACATCACAGTTAGACAAAAGATGCTGGTAAACTGGTTGATGGCATCCACTGTCATAACCACTCGGCACATCAGAGAGCCGAAAGGCCACGAGAGCAAAGCGTTCTGTACCGCCAAGAAGGGTAGGCCCAGCATGAAAAGCTCATCTGCAATGGCTAGATTGAGGATGTAGATGTTTGTGACTGACTCGTGTTTTGTGTAGTTGACAACAACATGGATGACCAGAGTGTTTCCCACCAAGCCAACGACACAAACGATGCCATAAATGAGTGGGATGAAGATTCCAGCCAAGCCAGGGAGGGATCCTGGTTTACTTTTGGTGCAATTTTGACAGGAGCTGTTAAGGAGAAACGAAGTGTCATCTTGGTTGAAGCTGTGAAGCGGTTCGGAGGGAGTAGAAAGGAGCAGGAAATGAGAGTAGGAGGGGGCAGAGGTGTTGCTCCAGGTAGCTGTAGGGACTTCCTGAGGCAGCAAAGCAAACTGGACGAGCTCCATCGAGGCGTTAACGACTATCAGGCAACAGTTGTTGGTAAGCTCACATCAGTAGAAGATCAGCAGCCCTACAGAAAGCAAAGTTAATTAATTTAGCACACTTCATGTGGACATGAAATATAAAGCAATTAATGCATTAAAGGTGTATTCTAACATTTCGGAGATGTCCAGTTAATCAACTCTTCCAACAAATCAGCCGTGTTGGTTGTTCGTCCACTGAAATGTGTCTGTAAAGCTATAAAGTTTCTTCTGGGACCTTTTCTGAGTTCTGTTTTCAGTTTCTGTTCGATCTGTTGTTGGAGAAAATGCGTCATCCTTTGTAGCATCCTTTACATCAGGGGTCCCCAATCCCAGTCCACAAGGGCCGGTGTCCCTGCAGGTTTTAGATGTGTCCTTGATCCATCACAGCTGATTTAAATGGATAAATTACCTTCTTAACATGTCTTGAAGTTCTCCAGAGGCCTGGTAATGAACTAATCATGTGATTCAGGTGTGTTGACCCAGGGTGAGATCTAAAACCTGCAGGGACACCGGCCCCCGTGGACTGGGATTGGGGAACCCTGCTTTACATGGTGGAATAGACACAGCACACAGTTTGCATGCAATTATACACACTGCAGCAAACTTGTTGCTTAACTTTAAAATATAAATATAGTACATAATAATAGTTTTTGTCAAAGTATAGAATTTATGTAAAACCCTTAGGAGTAAGAAAGGTGCTCGGTGTTATTTAGCACCTGGATTATCATTAATGTAACGTTAATCCAGGTCCATGAAACTTCAACTAAACTGCATTATAATTGTGTTTTAGAGTTTTAGAGGAAACATCTAGGCTGACTGTGTAAAGGTAACAGATTTCCCATCACGTCTTAGATTGTTCTTTGCTAGTATGGACTTTAAATTTTTATTGGATAGACAGCAACTTGGGAAGTCTTGTTACCTTGAGGTTGCCTGGAGACAGCCGGCACTCAAGTGCTGTATTGTTCTTGGTTTCAAGTGGGCAGGAGACTTTTGCTGCATGTTTAGTGTTTATGTCTTCTCTGTAAAACTCACAAGTGACATTTTTTTGCATCTAGACAACAATACTATATAACTAGCTAATGTGAGCTTTAGGGGTATTTAAATGTTTTAACAGGCTTCTGTCAAAAATAGACGTGCAAGCACTATTACATTTTTCATCTGACTATTGGCAAGAGAATGAGTGAGCCAGTTTAATAAAATATAAAACTGTGTCTCTAAAAGATATGTAGCAAAGAAAGATAAAACATAGAAAACAATGGCATACACAGCAGTAAGAGAGAATGAACAGGCAACAACATGTATTGACAAAGACACACTTTTCTATGTACACATAACGTTGACTGCTGCTGATGTTGGACAACACCTAAAAGTTTCAAAAGTTTGGCCATATCTGCCCAGTGGCTTGATGAATACTAAGCTATTAATAAACATAACAACCTTCCTTCCGTCACAACAAAGCAAGCGAGCACCAGAACACAGACATAAGGTATTTAGTTTTATTAGTACGAGACTTGTTTATGAAGCCATCCCAGCTTCTTAATCACCACTGTTCCACACACAGGCACACCCTCATCCCTCACAGCGATGGTTAATAATTGGTGGAACAAAATGCACTGACCTATGGGGGGAAAAATAGCAGAGGCATATCTTCTGCGACCTCAACTGAGTAAAGTACATTAATGCAGATGTGAAGATGAGCGGAAGAGCGGGGAAGGTAAGGTGAATTATATACACCACTAAAGAATCCCCCAGAGACAGTTACTTTAGATTAAAATAAGTACAAATATTGGCAGCACACAGGAAATGTACACACTTTGAAGCATGACTGAATTCTCTTTCAGTGTTTGGAGATTTTTTTTGCTTTGCTTTAATTACATTTCATTCATTACAACCTAAAGGGCACCAGTACCACCAGTGGAGAATAAGACCACAGTGTTCACTGGTCAAACACGTGATCAAATCATGGTGAATGTCAATCCTTATGTACAGTTTTTAGACCAAACCTAAGAGCCATCCATAGGTCATGACCTCAGTTACTAAATGTGAATGCCAGAGGATGGTATATGCCGTGGATCTCAACTGCTTAATGCTGCTACTGCTTTTATGAAGCAACAGGGTAAAGACAAGAAGTCGATAAATATAGAAATATTAACTTGTACCTAATATCGAATTACACTTATACTTGGGGTTATTTAGGCTTTTAAAACCTCATGTTTAAATCAGAAATTATTCAAATGAAAGAAGGCTAAGATTGATTTTTTTATAATGTGTGCACATTGTGTAAGGAGTCTTTAGTGAAGAGATGCTATTGTGACATCATCATATAAGGGAGTAGTGATATATTGAGCTGTACTGGAAAAATCCTCTGGAGGGAGTCTAGACGGTGGTGATAGCAGCGCAGGGGTGAAGGATGATGCTGGAGATCTGGATGGATGTGATGTGGAGCATGACAAATGGTGAGATTAATGGATGGACCTGAGGACAGAGGTCCTGATTAAAAGTGAGGATGAATGGGGTGGAAGAGTTTTCCATCAATCTGACAAGGAAATGACCACAGAGAGCAGCAGAGGCTTAGACATTTTTTTAAATGACCACAGTGCAAAAAATTGGATAAGAGACAGAAACTATGATAAACACAGAGAGGAACATCATCAGTCAGTCGCCTTTATAAACTAGGTGCTGTGTGAGAGGGAACATGAATGGGTGGTATAAACGTGAGACAGTCTTCTTGACTAACCTTTGACAGGCTTCGTATCACAAACAGTGCTGTGATTGTGAATATGGAGTTGTACAACATTCAGGTGTCACACTGTACAAAGACACGGAGCTAAAATGGTTCAACAGATTAAATCGAGGCACCAATTATTTCTCTGGCCTCAGTCATTGATTTTTTTTTTCCAGTCAGCGAACTTGAGTGACGTATAAAGTCTCAATAAGTCCTTTTCAATAAAGCGTATCAGGAGTACACAAAAGAAAAGAATGTTGTAATGCAGTAAAGGTGATTCAGCAAAATATTAGAAATCAGCTGAGGCACAAGAGCCAGTGTTCACTCTTAAATCCTGTCTCCATAAATAAAAAAATATAAAAAAAATTATCGTTCTGGTTTTTATGGTTCCAACATTTATTAAAAAAACTGTTTTGGATAGATAATGAACAAATAGTAGGAAACCAAAACCTTTCTGTGGTTACACATTGTGACTATTTGAAGTGCATTCTCTTTGTAATCCAACCTTGTGGCTAGTATGTAGAGCTGGGCGATATATCGAGTTTTTAAAAAATATCGATATATTTTTATACGAGATATAAGATGTGACAATATCCTTTATATCGATATAGTCTATGTTACGTTATAATTATACTTGTGGAGCCGCAAGTTTGCCTCTCTTTCGTCCACTTTCGTCTTTACGCAACGTTACTCGGCCTCGCCTCTCCTTCACTGAACACAACTCCCCCTCCTCCCCCATCGCTTCACCTGCAGGAAGCGACAAGATGGACACGGCAAATCTCCGTTAACGAGTTACTGCGCATCGCCCCGTGTGTGGGGCTAGACGCCGTCAACGTGTTAGCTAGCTAACCACGCTAACGAGCTAACCACGCTAACGCCATGCAGCCCAGAGGGGCTGCACGGACTAAAATCCTTTCATTTTCTCAAAAGTTGACAGCGCACCTTATGTATGAATTCTGGTTGTGCTTGATGGCCGCGAACCGATTTTATGTGGAACACGGCGCTCAGCAATCTGTCAAAAAATGTTTGAGTACGATTTTGGTAAGCTACGGAGCTGCACCGCTTGATAGATTGTCGGAGGATTACGGCTGAGCCTCGCGGAGTGATACGTACTGTGCTTCAACGTAATATTACCCTACTGTGTATAAGGACCATAAATGGCACCTGTTAAGAGACGTGGTTGCGAAGCGGATTTCAAACTCCAGGCTGTCAGTCACGCAGTACAAGTTGGGAACAGAGCAGCTGTGAAATCTGTCTTTGTTATTGTGCTCAGCGTCTTTTAGTTTACATTTTGATTGCACAATTGTGAGCTTTTTGTTATGCACAAAAACAACATTGTTTTCTTTTATTTATGGAGCATTATTATTTAATAAATGCTCATAATTTATTTTTGAGTAAATTTTATGTACATCTGCTCTATGTTAATAAAAGTGCCTGTGTGACATCTGGGACACAGCTTTGACTAAGAACTTTCTTTTTGTTCTTACTTTATGACTTTAAAAAAATATATCGAGATATATATCTTATATCGCCATCCAGCTAAAAAATATCGAGATATGAATTTTGGGTCATATCGCCCAGCCCTACTAGCATGTGCATCATTTATTAAGCTTAAAAAAAAATCCACAATTACCTTTAAGTTCTGTCCTTGTCTCTCTATGCTCCCTTTTCCTCCTTCTCTTTCCTCTCATTCAGCAGCCAGTCACAGCACAAGGCTGCCCCTTCCTGAGCCTGGTACTGCCACATGTTGCCTCTTATTAAAATGAGTTCTTCCTCCCCTCTGTTGCCATGTGGTTGCTCACAGTGAATTGCTGGGTTTTTCTCTATGATATTGTAGGATCTTTGTCTTGTGATAGAAAGCGCCTTGAGGCAACTGTGGCTGTGAATTGGCACTATAATAATAAAATGGAATTGAACATATAAAAACTATAGTAATGCAATTCACATCCATGGTTAGTGAAGACAAATGATTTTCTAACATATCACAGGCTTCACATCACTGTCATAACGCGAATATCTGTTAATTAATATATAAAAGGGGAAATAAGAAGTTTAATGGTTCCATAACACAAACAGGAGTGGTTGCAGGTATCTTTTGTTTTTTTTACTCACACCATACATTAGATAGTCACTGAATGTCCCACTGAGATGTGAACAGTCAGCAAGGCTAACCTAATCACACACACACTCCCCTACACTCTCCTCATTTTGCCTTTGCTATTGCCTCCCACCCTAATCTCTGATAAACACAATAAGAGCAGACTGACAATTTTTCTTCCTGAAGTGCATCACTTCTCTTGTCTGCCATTGCACGAGCAGCTC